ATTGCATGTAGATGATTGTTGAGGAGATTAAGATGCTTAGCTACTACAACAAATAACCATGTTAGAAATTCACGTTTACTGCTAGATTAAAAAAAAAAAAAAGTATCTGCTACTTCGTCACTTCTGCATACATTAACGTGTTTTCATGAGAAAAAGATAATTAATGTAAGAAAATTCTCCTTAATAGTACATATAGAGTTCATGGCAAAGAAAGCAATTCTCAATATGATGATGATGTTTTGAAACTTTGAAGGACTTTCTTTATACTCGGTGCATCTACCTTGGCTTGTGTGAATTCCTTTTTTTTTTTTTTTTTTTTTTTTTTGGATGGGAAAGTTAATTAGCTCAAGCTGTCATCGAAGACGTATACCTTGGCTATTGTGAAAGTTGATTAGCTAAGCTGGCGAGTTGATTAAGGAAAATATATATGAAGTTATATTTTGGGCAGTGGAGTAGCTGTGGCCTACTCTGTAATTTAAAGCTAAGTGAGAACTGTTTTTGTATGACTAAACATAATGACGAAGTGAAATCCCCACTTTTTGTTTAAATTTATTAGAAAAAAATTAAAAAGAAACAATAGAAGTAAATGAAATAAAAAGGGGAAAAGAAAGAAACTAAAGTAGAAAAGAAAGAAAGAAATGATATTTTTTGTGAAAAGAAAGAAAAAATTTGAGGGGATCAAATTAAACTAAAAAAAAATAGTTAAAAGTAATATTATAATTTTTTAAAACTAATTATATAATTAAAGAATAAAACAACCAGTAATAGTTTCATATATAAGCCAGAAGTTAAGATGATCAAGAGTTAAATATACAAATTAAGGACTGTTTGGCAGGATGGAAGAGTAAGCGAGAATGCAATGATGAAGAGAAGTGAAGAAGAAGAAGAAGAAGAAGGAAGATCAAACAAAATGGTTAGTGCATTGCCTCCTAGAATTCGAGCAGTGCGTAAGAGGCATCACGGGCTCACACATGATGATCACCATGCAGTAATGAAGCCGGTTTCCAGAATCCCTCCGCAGCTCCCCACCCATAACATTACCATCTACCAAATGCTCCACCAATTTGATAAGTTCGACTCTTAGTATATACATACATAGATATAAATGTGTTCCAAGTCAATTGGGATGATTGATTCTCCTATTTTCTTCTCATCAATGTAATTTAATTAAGACCCACTAACAAGTGGATAAGAGAGATTTAAGTTTTGGTTTCATGTTTTAATTTTCAGAAATTATCTATGCAGCAATAACTTTGGTACGTTGCCACCTTTCACAACTATATCATTTCATGAGCATGCATAATTAATTATTCATAAATCTAAAAATCTATTTATTTTCTTTGTTCTGGGTTCTCCAAGATCTGTCTTGTTTCTCTGGGGTGGTTTCCTGAGAAAATTGTTTTGGTCTTACTTATTTTGTTGGGAGCATGATGCTTTTGTTTTGGAGTTGAAATTATTTCATTCAGGGCATCCTTGTTTAGTTTAGCTGCTGCTACATTATATTGTTTACTTCCTTGTGTTTTGCAGACAATCGTATCTGCTATCTGCTGCTTCCTGACTTTCGGGTCAAGCACTCCCATCTCGATCTCCATGCATTTTCTCAGAAAATATCTTTTTTTTTCCCCCCTTTCTTTCCGTTTCTGTCTTCTTTCTCTTTCAACTTTTCTTTATTAACATTTGCTTTGATTCCTTGCATATGATGGTTTGAAGAGACACTTTTTCATGACTGGTAAAGGACAGTTTGCAAAAAGTCCTTTAGAATGAGAAGGGGAAGATGAACTTCAGCATAATAATTGCTTTGATAATATATAACTAGATTGTTCAAGTTCAAAACAATTCTCGGCAGTTCTTATTGCTCATAATGGTTCCTAAAGATTGAGAATTTCATAAATTAAGCCATAATTCCTTTTTGCTACTTATATATGAATTTGGTTTTGATTTTAAATAATTGAGTCTCATTTTGTCGCTTGATATAATTGGTTGAATAGGTCATTCAACATACTGAGGTGAGGTGGCACCTACATCATAATATAATTGCTCTATATTTTACTAAAATTGCAACATAAACTCCTAATATTCAGACATTTGCACCTTTTTAAATACCAAATGTCTCTGAAAAAAAATCAGTCCATACTTATTTTTCACATTTGCAGTACTGTGTATAAGATCAGATCTCATTAAGAGTAAAAATTACATTTAACTTAAAACCACAAAAGAAAAGAAATAAGAAGTTAATCCAAATGGCCTCAATATGCTGAAGTAACTATCTTAAAAAATAAATACCTCTCCGAAAAACCAACTTCCAAAATAAACACTCTTTGATCAATTAATGAATCCTCTCTGCCTCTTCCGTAACTCTCGAGATCAAAGCAGAAGCTAAGCTTACTCTATTCACTAGTGAAGATATTGAATACATGAGTAAAAATACCTAGTTTATGCTTGAAAAAATTTTCAAATAAAATTGGGGTACAATTTACACAGATGTATATGAATTCTCATTCTACAAGAGAAATACAAAGGGCCACCACCATGCCAAGTACCAGTGAAGTTAATTGCAGTGCTGTACTTTTCAATGTTGTTTTCCCAGTATTGTTCATTTCTGCAAGCACGCCAGCAACAGAAATGTAAATGAACCCACCCGCTGTAAATCCCTGCAGAAAATGGAATGAAAAACTAAATGAACTTCCATTTTAACTTGGGACAGTGACTCCCAGAACCAAACTGAAACAGTAGTATTTACCTCGATCAAAGAGGACTGCCCTGGATCTTGTCCCCAGAGTAAAGCCTGCAAGAAATTAAGTAGATTTTAAAATTTTTATTTCTTGAAATAATATTAGGTAGAAACCACATATACAAAAATTCTGACCGTTGCAGTTCCAGCTAGTGCCACCAAAGCTGAGAGAAAGTTAAAGAATAGTGCTTTGAATACACTGAAACCAGATCTTACCAGAATGCCAAAATCACCAACCTGCATATTTGAGCATAATTCAAGCTATAGGCTTCTAAATTTATCAACACTTCTAGAATTGGTAAATAGAAGAGTTAAGGAGAAACAGTTTGCCAGCAATAGAATACGATTCTGTTTTCAAGCCAGTTATTCTTAACAATATATTAATTATATAGTTTCTCAATATGTCTCAAGGTAAGAATTTACCAACTTTCCACAGAAAAGCAACATCCTTGTAAATTTCACAATAAAGAATAAAAATAAAAATCAAACTTAAGTGTACAGTTGCAGCCTCCTTGGTTATCACCCTAAATCAGAAGCACTTCATGAGGTCTTTTTCTAGTCAAAAAATCATGCAAGTCAGCACTTGAAACCTGGACCTCATGTGGGCCATCTGAGCTATTTGGGGAAAATATTTCATAGGAATGCAATGCTTTCTAGAGCATTACTAGTATTATTGGACTTATTATGCTTTTCCAATTTTATTCCTTTTAGACAGTCTTGTTTTATTCTTGTTTCCTACCATGTTATCAGGCTATGTAGACACCCCATAGTTATATGGGTGCTTTATCATTATTAAGCAGACTGCTTATAAATAAAATTGCTGATTTCCTCTCATTAATTAAAACTCTAACAACCCTGTAACTGTAGATTGGATTTATCTTTTATTTTCATTATTTTCTTCTCTCTCTGGACCCTAACCTGCTGTGCTACATCAGAACCTCTGATTAAGACAGAAATAAACAACAAACTTTACTAATTTGGTTTGTGAATGAGGCCATGAGTTAAACTATCATGCCAGAAGCTCCCCGAACCGACTTTTCTTTACCTCTAAAAGTATGACAACTGCAAGAGAAAAAGGAAGAAAAACCAGGTCTGTTTGATGCCAATCACAGGAAGAAGGAAAGACAGACAGACTGATCAAGAATATTATTACTTTCTTTTTTCTCTTCGAGAATCGGGGCAAACATTATTGTGGTCTATTTTCATGTTTAGAGATACTATCATTAGGCTAAGCATTGTGGGGGTCAGTTTTATGTTCAGCCTTTCTTTAATAACCATATAAATAATCAGAAGTAGTGAACTCAAAAGTCAAATGTGGTAAGTTAATATTTTTAAACAGTTTGATATATTTTTGAGTTTCATATAATATTTTTATTGTATATTAGTAAATATACTGTTATGGCTGAACATGGTCAGATTAGTGAAGTTTGCAGATGGCAACGAAGTTTACAGATGACAGGACAACAAGAAGGGTAAATCTCATAGATGTTTCTCAAGTTTTCTTTAGAATCTCTTACAGAAAGCTCTTCTATCTGACGTATGGCAGACAGTTCTAACTTTGTTTGAATTTTCTGCCTGCAAGTCCACTGCTAGAATCTCTTATTTTTACACATTTTCTTTGGATTCATTTGATATAAAAAATAATATAGCTATTATAAGAATTTAGGAAGTTATGGTGACATCAAATTTTCTTATCCAGGCCCTAGGGTTCATACCCTCAAAGATACGGATATCTATCTTCGGTGTAGGGTTTCCTGACAGATCATTTTGCGAATTTTGCATGCAACTACCCCAGCTTCATGCTGTTTTAGGTTTGGAAGGATACCTTTATCATAAGCTTGTAAAGGAGGTGGGTGACTTACATCAAATGATGGTCGCTGATCCTTTGCCCCTGCTCTCAACATCTCAGCGATTTGCTCAAATCTGTGGTCAAGTAATGCTTTCGTTTGACGTTGTGCGTCATACATCTTGGCCATCAAGTCCAAGAGCTTCTGGTCAACTTCCCTTACATCCTCCAACATTTGTATTTTCTGTGTTTCGTTCACCACCCTTTTTCTTTTGTTCTTCGCCATCACCATAAAACTCACTAGCTGCTCGTCGGAATCAATTGGCTTTTATACCAAGTTGTCAGGAGCATTTAACATGTATCTGACGACTAATATCAAGTGATCGAAGAAGAGAAATAGATTTAGTCGGTTGAGATAGAAAGATTGAACAACGGTTGACAGAATTTGAGAAGACTCAATTAGAAAGATTTCAATATTCACTTAGCATGGACAACAATCCTTTTTCCTGATACATTTATAGCCTACGAATATCTACAAATTTCACTCAATCTGCAGAAATTTCAGAACAGAATTTGTTACAACGGAGAGAATGAGCATACAAAATCCTAGCCGCTGCAACCAACAACTGACCTAACCCAATTCAAGATGTTTCCTTTAACCCCAATTTCCCTTGGTTCCATCAGATCTTGACATGCTACTCCTTTCCTTTATTCCGATTAAAGCCACATTGCCTGTTCACCAGATCCCACTACGTTACTAGACAAGTACCTTAAAAATAATCTTATATGCCTTCGCGATCAAACGAATCAGTGTATAATCCAACACCTTTGATTTATCCTTTTTTGGTACTTAGGTGATAAAAGTTGAATTCATGCTTCAACAAATTTTCCCATTATTAAAACTTCGCAAAAACCTTGATCAAGTTCTCTTTTACCACTTTCCAGCAGTTCTTAAAGAACTCCAAGTTCTCCAAGTGCCTCATACCTGCCAAATCCCACACTGCTCTTTTAATCTCATCCTCTTCGAATAGCCTCTCCATCCTTTTAGCTTGCAAAAGAGTTATAGGCTCACACTCAATTCTCTCAATGAAAGGTCTATGATTGTTCTCTTCTGTATACAAGTCTTGAAAGACCTTAGTAATCTCTTTCCCAATCACCTCACTTCTACTCCCAACACGACCATTATCAAGTTGTAGCTAGCATTAGCCAAAAGCGAGAGAAACCCCATCCCTCTCTTTCTTTTATGCCCCCATGCCCTCCA